CCGCCTGCCTGCGGGCGGCGGAGCGGGCGTTGCGCTGCGCTGTCGCCTCGCCTCGCTACCGCTGCGATATATCGCCACTGATGTCACCCGCAGGCAGCCTCCGCGGACGCCGCTGCTCGCGGCCCTGAAATGGCTGCGTGCGGCGGCGATGAGGCTCACAGACAGGAGGCAGGAGGAGAGCCCCGCGCCTGCAGCTGAAGGCAAATACATCCGGCGGGGTGCGGATCGATGGATCCGGCCTCTGCTCCTGCTCGTGAAGCATCTGCCCGCGGACGGCAGCCCTCTCCCTGAATTCGCTGCTCGGATCAGTGTCCCACTCCCGAGCTCGGCACTGGCCATCGAGACCGCTGAGTCAGGGCAGGTTTGTGCGTGAAGAGCGCGGTCGGATCCACGCCTCGCCTGGCCGCTGTCTGATGAGCACGTCCTCGTCCCTGTCGACCCGCAGCCATTGCAGGGTGGCGGCTCAAGCACACAAGTCAAAGAGCCCCTGAAAAAGAAAAACATCCACCCCCAAAAAGAAAGCAAAGACCACCGGAAGGAAATCAAAACATGTCCCGGGGAAGCCTCCGTGTGGCTCCAGTGCCCCAGAACCCCCAAGCCAAGCAAAACCCAGCACAACGCCTGCGTTGGGCAGGGCACCCCCAGCACCGCCGACAGCGTTTGACGTACGGCTCTGGCCGGCCCGCGGACCAGCAAAGCCCAGCATTTCCAGGGGCTTTGTTGGCGACAGCAGTCCCGCTCTTCACACGCACGCAGTCTGCTGACCGGGGCCAGCGGGAGCTCTGCCCGAGCGTGGCCTTGCCCTGCGGGGCTGCGCTCCGGGCTGGGCCGGCCGGAGCCGTGCAAGCCGGGCGCGCTGGGGCTGCTCAGGAAGCCGCGCACAAAGGCAGGAAAGCGGCCAGGAGGGCAGAGGCCGGGAGCAGGCTGCCCGGCAGCCGGCTCTGCCGTGGGGCACGTTTATGGGTGTTTGGATGCTGCAGCAGGCACGAGAGGAGGCTCATGTCCAGGGGCATGAGAGGACCACAGTCCACCCGGGACTTACACCTTTGTTTGCTGTTGCTCAGCTCTGAGAAATACAGATGTGCCTTCCTGATGCCTGGGCATCTCCCACGCCCCAAATTAGGAAGAAGCAGTCAAAGCACAACCCTCTGTCTCCTACTGCTCTTCTAGGAGCTTTCCTAGCACTTGGCCTTTCAGTGATTTATTTTCCCGGTTGTCAGGGCTCTTGTGGTGGCTGAAACACGCTGGCCAGGAGGGAGCCCCTACAGACAGTGGAGATAAGGGGACGACTCCCAAAGGCTCAGAGAACGGCAGACGAAGGCAGTGGGATTTGGGCATCAGACTCCTCTTCTGCTAGACCGCTCCCGCTGCATGCCGCTCTAAAGCAGATCAGACAGAGGTAGTTTGGCGTAGTGGCAGCTCGGCCTGGTTGGGCAGGCTGCTCTTGCCTTTCTCTTGTGCTCCTGAGTCAATCTTTCCTTATCAGCTCAGTTTAGTAACGTTTTCCCTGTGAATCTTCCTTTACCCAGTTTAGTTTGTGTTCTGCTGTGGTAGTTTTTCCACTGTACGTAAGCTGCAGCTTTGAGAGGGGCGGTTCTGGCCGGCCGCTGCTCTGGCGCGTCGGTGCGGTGCCGTTCGCGGGGAGCTGACGGGGAGGTGCCGGTGCCCGTGCTCTGGCCGGGCGTTCGCAGCTGGCGCGCTCTGAGCTTGCGGATCCGCGATCCCCAGCACAGCATGGCAGGCGGCTGGCGCCACCCGGGGCAGGGCGCCGGCGTGGGGCGCCCGCCTGCCGCTCCCCGGGACGGGGCGCTGGCGTGGGCTAGCAAGGGGAGGCGTTAGCCAGGGAAAACAATGAGTTTTTCCAGTGGAATCGGTGCTCGCGCCTCCACCCCGTTTCTCAGCAAGCTCTCCAACCGTGGGCTGTTGCTGCACACGCAGCCGGGCGCCGGCGCCTTCGGAATGGTGCTGACTTGTGACTTACAGCCAGAGGTAGGCACAGGCCACCGAGGAAACTGTTCTTATTATCCCTCACCCAGACGCTCAGCTTCCCAACAGCCCTGCGCCTCACCCCGAGCTCCCTGCCTGCTTTTCCGCAGCCTTCTGCTGCTGCCCCCGAGCCCCTGGCAGCAGGGCGAGGAAGACGTGCCCGCAGCGGGAGCCATGCCAGCCTGCCCTGCCCGCCTCGCTGTCCCACCTCCCTTTATTTTCACAGGGCTCTAACAGTGCCTCTCTGCTCTCAAGGACACCCGAACAACGAGCAGGCGGGAGATAAGAGAGCCTGGCAGCGGTTTGCTGGTCAGCAGCCAGCTGCCTGTGGGAGCTCGGCCTCGGCCCCAGGGCTCACCCAGGCCCACAAAAGCCTTCCCTCGCCCGGCGGGGCTGCCTGCGACCCTGCGCGGGGCCGGAGGCTGACTGCCTGGCCGTGGGGTGTCTCTGATGCGCTCGAAGATGAGGTTTCCCACTCCCGCTCAGGCGCTGCCCGGGTGCCGCCGTCTCCCTGCTCCTGCTCTGCTGGTGCTGCCCACACTCCCTGAGACCACCCGCTCCCAGGCCACCCCCAGCTGCAGACCAGCACAGGGGCTTGGCTCTGGAAGGGGCTGTGGGGCTGCAGTCAGACCCCACGGGGCACCAGGCCCCAAAGTGACGTTTTCAGGGCTGTACATTTTGGCATCCTGGATCTACAGCGAGTGTTGACCTCAATCCATCTACCTGGGTTTGCTGGGAGCTCAAGAGAAAGATTCCTCCTGCCTCTACTCTGCCTTTCCCTCACCTGGGTCTGCAGAGCGCTGGGATGCACCCAGAGGCAGACACAGAGGAGATCTCCCAGCTGCATCACACGTACCTGGAATGCTGTGCCTCCTGGCTGGCACCGTGCCCGTATCACAGTAAATTACGTTTAGATTTGGCAGGTAGAGCCGCGGGTGGCAGAGCTGACACAGCCCCTCAGACGTACCTGCCACTCACAGCCCCGGCTCCCTGCGCTGCTGTTTTGATCCCAGCGACAATGGAGGCGGCTGTCAAGCGGTAACGGCTGCTCGGGGAGCGTCAGTTTGCTCCGCACGCTGACAGCAGGCTGAAGAAATCCTCCCAGCACAGTGTCACTGCCTGAGCCGGGCTGAGGCTGCTGCTGCACCTTCCCCTGCACAAACCCAAACAGCAGAGGCCGAGGAAGCAGGGCGAGCAGGGGGCACGGCTGGTGCGAGGCCGGTTTCCAGGTGTGCACAGAACAGCATCCCACCGCGTCCTCCTCCGGAGGCAGGCGCCTTCTCTTCTGCGGTTCTTGGAGAAACCCTGTGAAATGAGAATCCTTCTCTTTAACATCAACCTTCCAGCACAGCATCAATAATTCCCTGACAGTCATAGCCCCAGAATTACAGGCTTAGCACATCCACATGCTGTGCACCCATTAGAAGCTGATTATTTGGTCAGCATGTCTTACCTCGCTGCAGGTGCACAAACCTACCCTCCGCGTGCTCGCTGTGGCCTTCAAGGGACCAGGTAACCCTACGACGCGCAGGACCGGGCAGCACGCTGTGTGCATCGCAATGGGAGGCGGTTTTCTCTGCACCACTGAAAGCTCCGCGGCTGCTCAAGTGCCCCGGCTCCCAGCAAGTCCTGGTGCTGCTGCGCACCGACAGCGCCAGCTGCCCCTCGGCCCCTGTGTCCCCCCCGGGCACGTAAGCGGCTTTGCAAGGAAAAGTGAGTGGTACTGAAACCCAGCAGGGCCCAGCAGCGGGCAGCGGAGCCCGAGACCCTGCCTGTGCCTGGCCGGGCCGGAGCAGCCCGGGGGAAGCCCGGTCCCTCAGACGGCGGCAGGGACCGTCCCGCCGGCCTCGGCCCTGCCCGGGCACACGCAGCCTGTGGGATGCTGCCTCACCGTTTTGGGTCTGCTTAAAGGAAGACTTTATAAAGAAAACTGTTTTTCCCCAATTTGAGTTTGGGATCTGCAATTCACATTTGAAATC